GCCCTTTTCCTTGCTATCATTTATTTGATAACCAAATTCTAACATCAGCTTGTTCCTCTTTACACTGCATACACGCCATCTTCATAGGTCATGTGCTGTAATTATCAGAGTATGCAACAAATGGTGTTTTACATAAAATCGCCTTTACTTTATTTTGAGATTCTATCTTGTTTTGGTTTCATTGCTTATTCAGTGGCTCATGAAGATGGATGTTGCAGCAATGGAATACAGTATGTTTTTAAATTTTAATCATTTCCCTCTTTTTGTTGTTTGCTAATGCTTTGCCGTTGTTACAGATCATGTCAATGGACATTGCACTAGCCCCATCTCCCAGCCCTGCTCGGCAGGGAAGCCTCGAATTCCGATGGGTCCCGAGGGGCCGCGGCTTTCCCGCAGAGGCCCCGGCCGACCGCCCTTCCGCAAGGCCCAGTCCGCTGCTTGCATGGAGATCTCTTTGCCTGTGTCCCACACTGAAGGTGTGTGCTTGTCTTCCCAATTCCCATCCTTAAACTCCGTACCATAACCCCCCTTCTCCCAAAGAGTGCATGTGTGCATCTCTCCTTTGGGTAAGTGGACAAAGGCCTGAAACATAGTTAACACAAGGCAAGCACATGCTAATGCAAGTTCACAGCGTAAAATGTGAAATCCCAATCATAGTGTTGGTACTATGGTGAACATATCAGTAGTTGAAGAAAGATTTGCAGCTCTCTTTATTATCAACATTTGTAATATATTTTTTGCTTAACTCCTCAACCATAGAATTATAATAAGTTATTGCATAGTGAATTTAACAAAGAGCTGCGGGACACTTGAGCGCTACATTTTTCAACATGTTAAAAAGGGGGTCCAGTCTTATATCAAGAGCAACCTCCAAAACATCTGGAACTTCAGCCCTGAGTAAAATGTAGAGCTGTCACAATCCGGGGTCAGAAAATATTGAGTCGGCAGTATAGCTGCTCAGTTGGTGTACACAAAACAGGGATCACAACCTTGAATTTGATCGAATACTCTTCTTCTTACCCAAACCTGGAATTTTACAACTAAATTTAGCAATTTCACAATACACCTAATTGTGTTTTATGATGATCTTTTCTACAGCTTGCATTAGCATCACCTCACAACTTTTTGACTGCAGGTTCGGCTTCTTTTGAATGCAAGAAACAGCCCTTGCATCGTATGCCTTGATACTGACGCTTGTGTCGACCATGTAACAGGCCTGAAGTTTGGTGCAATGTTAAACGCTTTTAACAATCTTTTTTATTTGTTCACAGTACCATTCTTTCTGTGTTTTCTACTGTTGCATTCAAGTTTGTTTAACATGATACATTTTCTTATTTGAAATATAGGCTAGTGATAAGAGTTTAATTTACTCTTGCTTTCTATTTACTCATGTTGTTTCTTTTTGTTAATTTTTTAATGTGTTTTGATTTGATTTGAAAATCAACAAACAACAGACAAAGTTTATATAGAGTGGCCACACCTAAAAGCTTTCTCATAATTTATTAGAGCTTCGGCCAGTGCAAGCGTTTCCTCATCTGTTTCATATTTTTCTAAGGGCTTAAATTAGCAGAAGATTTAGTCTTTTTCATCCACACGTTATGTTTTTTCCACTTGCGCTTGCTGATCCCACTCTAACTCTGACTGACCAAAAAAGTTACTACTCCAAAAGTAGCTTCCCATCACCGTGATCGGCCTGGGAATGTGTGCGTCTTTGTGTGTCACTGAATGAGACTGCTGATGTTTGTGTTGATGTGTCTCCTTGTATCCGTGCGTGTAAAGCCAAAGCCTTTTTGTATTCATCAAGATTAACTGAGTGAATTAAGATTCCTTTGGAATTCCTTTGTGAAATATCTGTCCTATATTCTGTCTTTCATTTCTTAATGCGAAAGAAGTCCTGCGTTTATATAATTATTTCTTTTTATCTTTAATAAATAAGACAGAAAGAGAGAGATAGAGAGAGAGGGAGAGAAAGAGATTAGTAGTGAAAAGTAGTGATTAGTCTGATGGTTACTGTAGAAGTCTATCAGACACTGGCCAGAATAGACAGCAAATTAAGGGGGAAGATTAAAGCCATAGAAGTGGCTGAAGGATGATTGACCCCAGAGGCTGAGAACTTGTTTGACACTGTGGTGCTCTAATTTAAAGTGTAAACCTAATTTACTCTGCAGCTGTACATCGGTGGGGAGCACATTTCTATGCACATTGGCCAAGCTTTTCAGGATCATCATGATGCACTGCTGACGTCGAACGCTTTCTTAGAGCCCGGAGGTATCACATAAATGACCTCCTATACTTCTAGAAGACACTGGAACGTCGCTCATGGTCCACTAATTGGCCGTGATTTCTCTTAGGTAGAGCTCTTTCGAATCATCGAAAACTCTGAGTCAAGTCATAGAAGGCAAAGAGAGAAGAAAGAGTACAGAGCACACAGAGATCATCAAGACAGAATGTAACAGCAACTGCGTGTGTTTTGCACAAATCTAGACTACTTTAGCAGTCTACATTAATTTTCTCAATCATGCACCCTGTGAAATTGTCCGGTCGCTCACCTACTTTGCTACACCAACCCTTTTTGCATCACATCTGCAACCAGATTCATGCTGCCATCTTAATCAGCCTCATTATACAACAGTGACCTGGAACCAAGAGGGAAGCAGTTCTTCATTAGCATGAGCTGGATGTTTTATTAAAGTGACCTCCTGGGCTACAGGTGCATTATCAGCCAGAGCAATGCAAACAAGAGTAGAAATAATTCTTTTTCACACTTGCCCTACAGCATACGTGACCTCCAAAACCATCCATAAGAAGCCACTTGATAGACTTCACCAGGAATTTATCATAGAATAATGTGCTGGATAAGCATGGTCAATTTACCCCTATTTCACCAGACAACATGCAGTTTAAAAATATATATATTCCCAAGCCTATAGACAGGCTAACATACTGCACACTTGAAACTGAAATTCCTTCTTGAGGAGATACAAAGCTCTGAGTTCTCATCACTATTTATTATAGATTACATGTTAATACGTTTAATTTGATGAGAATCACCCCCTCATGCATAAACATTATTTGGATGACCCTGATTCACATCGACCAGCATCAATCCACACATCACGTCTTCCGACTCTGTTCTCACGGTCTTGACTACATAAGCAAACACTTTATTCTGCTTGGTGCCATGCCGTTCCAAAGTGGACGCTGGTGACTTTATCTCACAGTCTCTTGCCACACACAGGAGTAGTTATATGGTCACTGAAGGAAAACAAAGAGTTTGATTTGACAGCACTTTTCTCTGTTTTTTCACTCTGCCCAACCTCTTTATGTGTGACAAACCTCAAGAGCCCAACTCCATGTGTGCAAACAGCTCATTCATGTGTGAAAAAAAGAGCTCAAACACAAGCTGTTGTGTCTGCGAGGGGGGAGTGAGACCTCACCCCCTTACAGCAAGAGAAAGGTAAACTCCTGATATTGGAATCTGTTTGATTCAGAATATGAAATAAAACTTTAAACAATACCAGTCAAACTCAAACGTCCCGTTTGAGTTAATTTTGAGAGCACTCTGCCTGATGGTTTGTGAAGAACTTGCAGGGTTTTTCAAAGCCTAACCCAGGGATATTACAATTAGAATAAATGTTGTAAAATGATAATAATTATAAGGGAAAATGTGCATGTCATTTGTAAATGATAAAGCACACATCTCAAAATCTACAGGGCTGGAAGGATGTCCAACTAATAACTGAGCATGGTACTTATCTGTGCAAAGCTACGTTAGCTTTTTATTCTAGCAGAATTGACACTCTTAGCAAATAAATCAATAAATCAATCCCCCTCCAGTGCTTGTGTATCAAAACAAGGGGAAACGTCTAATCAAAAGGCCCTGCTGAGCTCTAACTCAGGTGAGATTTAACTGAGCACAGCAACATGTTTATTTTACGATTAGTAAGAGTAAAAGATCTGCTAAATTCATATTTTCAGTTGGGAGAAATATCAAACGTTTTTGCTGGTGAAAATAGGCAAACCGTTGCTCATTTGGTATTTGTTATCTACCTTTGGCACAGTTGCGCCTCAACTGCTTTGGGTTACCACAGTGAGGAGCCAGCAGGGTAACTGGAATAATTAAAGGTCAGCAAGCAGTGCGAGAAATGAGGCTGATGTTAATGAGGCCTGCATGCCAAGCGGAGAGACGGAGGAGGGAAATGACAGACTTAATGTATAGTCAACATTTGCCTCGCATCCATCACCAATTAGACAGCACACCTGTTACATGTTAAAGACACAGTATCTCAAAGTTTGAATTCAATCAAATTCTTGGATAGACTTTAACAACAGCTATTCAATATGGGAAATGTGTTGTCATTTATATGTTTATTATTCTAGAGGGAGTGACTATCTTTTCCGATAAGATTCAGAGAACTTGGAGTACCCGTGTTTGAATGTGAGATAAAGCAGATGCTGAAGCAGTTGGCTAGCTATTACGTAGCTCTGTGATGTATAAAGTTCCTCTTGGAGATTAATGATAGTATGTTACATAAATAAATAAAAAAGTTCAAATATAAGCTCACAGCTTATTTGATAGTTTATTCAAATATCAAATTCTGCATGGTGCTTCAATGAAAACAAAATCATGTTCAAATTCACCGCCATTGCAAATATGTAGATAGGATTTGGGGATCCTCCCCGGGTGTCAGTCCTTTGTCTGTTTGAAGATGTGTGTGGCTGGTTGTGTACATACCAGTGCTAAACTGGTACCGTCTCTGTCTCACTTCGTCCGATTGCCAGCCTCTCCTCACCTCACCTGGCTGACACTGCCTCGCCTGCCTCTGGCTCCCTATAAGGGGGGCCCCCATGGGTCCCTGCGTCCTGTCAGAACACCACAGTGCCTGACTTTCATTAGCCAGCACCCCACAGGCTCTGCCACATAGCGTAAACACACCCCGGCGACAACACGGCAAGCCCACCCAGACATGCACCGGAGGGGTATTTCATGTGTTTGATTGTCAGCAGCATTGTACAGCGCTCTTGTGAAATGCGCCAGAATCTTTTTTTGGGGGTTAAAAAAATATTGCTCCGAAATTATGGTGAGCAAGAAAGGACAACTAACTGGCTTGTTGTCTTTCATAGTGTTGTCCTGTTTAGCTCCATTTGACCGTTTTGTAACAGATTGTCAAATGTTAGCATGATCCGAAAAAGCGGCATTGGAAATTTTGGTTGTCACACAACAGTGCTGTACAGTGTGGTCGCTCTTCATCAACCACAGCACAGTGCATGTAGGGATGCTGTGTCCGAGTTACTCATAACATTTGAATGACAGAAACCTGCTACTCTCGCCAATTGTATTCGGATTAGCAGATGGTGCTCCTTAGAGAGAGAGAGTCACGCAAGTGAAAGTGTGGCCACCAGGAAAAGATCCGAGTCTTGCTCTTTGTGTATTTTTTTGCAGCAATCTCACCACGCTCAGTTGCATCTTTCTCTCTTTCCCTTCCCATCACTGGTACTGCTGTTCATCTGTCTGTCTCATCTGTTTCTTGGCTCGGTGTGGCCCCACTCGTGTGTGTGCGTGTGTGTTTGTATGTGTGGGTGTACTCGTTTCTCTTGGTCATGGGGGTTGTGGTTTGTTCTATGGGATCCATCGTGTTGGGGAATAAGTAGGGCATGCATCCAGGAGGGCAATGCTTCAGCAGTTACACGGAGTCACTATGTACTCCCACGACGAGCACCACACCACCACCTCCTACTGCTGGAGTGACAGAGGTAAGGGGGCTTCGGCCAAAAACACATCCACTGCTGTCCTGCCCACCAAATTACGTCCGTACGTCCGTACGTCCGTCCGTCCGTCCGTTCGTCAGAATGTCAGTCCGTCCTATGGCCCTGTGTCCTCTTTAAACATACCTTGAACTGCCTCGTGATGTCCTGGATAGCGTAGGAGCCACACGGATGGTACCGTCCTTATCGTAGTACTACCGAATCCTTACCAAAACCCCTTATTCCATGACAGAAATCTAATTTCAAATGATGCAGGTATGTTGTCCATTTAACGTCTTTCAGGACTGACTTCATGGCAACTCACTAAGTCTTCGTGGGGCTTTGCACCCATCTGTTGTTGCTGTTGCATAAAGTCCCTGCTTGGCGTAACATCAGGCTCGGAGTGCATTACAGCGCATTTCCTGGCTCTGAATAATTCAGAAACGCTGCAATACAGAAATACTTTCCTGATGGAGGCTTTAAGAACACAATGGAGGACCTGATTGTGTAGCATTTGAAATGCGGTTAAAGAAGGCCTTGAATGCGGTACAGCTACCAGCGTGTGTGAACATATTTGTGTGTGTCTGTCAAGGACTAAAGGTCCAGTTAAGTGCCAATAAACTTAAGGCACAAAGGTTGTGTGTGTTTGAGAAACAGTGTTCCTGTCCAGCTGTCTCTTTGTAATAATTAATCACTTTGCTTCTCTATGTATCTCATCTATTCAGTGGCATATTCTTGTTGCAGACAGACCATATTTGACATTTATAAAATATCTTCTGCACTTCTTATCTTTCTCTCTTTTCCATCATGCGTTCTTTTTTCTTTACCTACCCGTCCTCTCTTAATTCCATTCTTTATTATACCGTCTGTTTATTCTCTTCAACCACTCTGTTACCATTACTGATAATTTCCCCCTCCTAAAATTTCTTATTAACCTTTTTCTTTCTTACCCTCCCTTCCCTCTTCATCGCTTTACATCTTTCTCTTGCATTATCTCTGGTGTCGCCGTGCCTCCTTGTTTGGTGGCGGCTGCTTGTGCAGAGAGTCGTGAAAACTCCTTCAGCCGCTCGCGCAGTTCCAGCGTGTCCAGCATCGACCGGGACACCAAAGAGGCTGTCACCACGCTGCAGTTCGGAGAGTCCTACGGGCGCAAAAGCGACGCCCTACCTACCCCGTGTCTATGGGTGGGCACGAGTCTAGGTGTAGTTCTGGTCATCCCAATGTCCATCCCCACCGACCATGAGGAGAGGATGGAGGAGCCTGTCACCATTGGTCCTAGCGGTATGTGCAGTCATTCACGTTATCAGAGCTGCTCAACTTATTTCTGTTGGGTTTTCTATCAACCTTTCCACTTTTCTTTTGTCTATCGGTTCGGCTCAAACATTGAATGTAAAAAGATTTACGTATATGTATAAATATTGAGCTTTTTATAGCATTTCTTGCTCTAAAATTCATGGACTTTTTCTCTTGATTCCACCCAAACCTTTCCAGGAGCTGTCCAAATGCTGAAGGGCTCTGTGTTGCACTTTGGTTTCATGGACTGCAATGGAGGTCTCATTCAGAGTCCATATGAGGTTTGGCGAGACCAAAATGCCCCCGAGGACCCCGATCGACCACGGAGGCGCAAACTGGTCAACTTCTCACCATCCTCCTCCCAGGAAGCCTTTGGAGAGGGGCATTTGGCCGTGGTGTGCTCTGAGAGGCAGGCCAAAGTCTTCTTGATGCCTTCGCAGTCATGCCTCTTTGTCCACAACATTACAGAGTCCTCCTTTGTGCTGCGAGCTGACGTGGTCTCCGTGTGTAACAGTGTGTGCCTGGCCTGTTTCTGTGCCAACGGACATGTTATGACCCTAAGGTATGATTTTAAGAGCACATCAGAGCTCTGGCTATTATATAGATATTTGCATTGAAAATCCAATCTGAGAGCTGTAAAGTGATTTCCTAGAAACTGCAAAGTTCTCCCTGCTCCAATCACAATTTTTTGCACATGTTCTACTGAAAAACGAAATACTGAAAAGATTTTTCAATGTACTCAAAATACTCCATAAATGCATCAGAACACATTGACCTCGATTTAAGTTGGGCATTTTAGATCAGTCTTCCCTTTTATAAATTATACTGTGAAAGCTTTATTTGAATTTTTCTCAAACCTCCTGGCTTTTATTCAAGTTCAATCATGCAAAAAAAGATAAAACTAAAAAGTACATTCTCTGTCATTTTCAAGTTTTTTGAGCATTTGTTAAACTTGGCTGTCAGTTTAAACTTTGCTGTCAGAGAAAAGCCTACAAGAGAGATACTGAAAAAAAAGAACATCCAGAACTTCAGTTAATTGAAATGCTGTGGTGGGACAGCTGTGCAATAAAGAGTTCACATAAATCTGAGGCAGAGAGATGTTTTTGTCATGTAGAAAAATTATGAAAAGAAGCTGTCAAAAGATGGGGTGCTCTTTGTTTTTAACACCACTTCTGTACTTTGGATCACTGGATATTCCCTGTCTATTTGTTCATCAGAAATGTTATTCACCTCTTTTTAGGATGTTTAATACAGCATAGATTTTGTAATATGGATTTAGTGGATTTAGTAGACTGCATTCACATCCAAGCACCAGCATGAATAGTGTGTAATTATTCAGCATAAGTCTTAAACCATAAAACTAACCAGCCTTTGTTTATTAGATGAATTCATAATGACAACTCCTCTCAGCTGGAATGCAATTTTGGAACCGTTTTTGTGGTGTGCATAACTGTTGACTTGCTGGGTATGATTGAAATATCCCAGCATTCCCGGTGCTTAGCATATCATTCACTCTTTTCATTCTGCCTACAGTTTGCCCAGTTTAAGACCACTGATGGACGTCAATTACCTGCCTCTGACAGACATGCGCATCGCAAGGACCTTTTGTTTCACCAATGGGGGCCAGGCACTATATCTCAGCTCCCCCACTGAAATTCAGAGAATTACATACAGCCAGGAGATGTGTGACAACCTGCAGGTGAGCACTGCAGCTCGAGCACACACAGTTTAGAGGAATTTTGGTGCAGTAAGTAAGCAGGCACTGTTATTCCCACTCTGACTGGAGCTGACAGTTGACACCGAACTCAGATGTCAAACGGGGAACCAACTCTGCTGGGTTGAATCTGGCTTTACGGTGCATGTGTGCATGTGGACACTGGCTTATTTATGGATGGTTATTATTAGCAGCCATGGCTGCACATAACAAATGATTCTGCTTTGTGGAACTGCCATAGTGCCATCTACAGGCAGCAGCGGCTGAGTCATATACGGCTCATTACTGAGGAAAAGCTGATCAGTTTTCCCATTGCATGTGTTGAGCAAGTGCTCAATATCGTACTTCTTACAGTAAATTTTCTTATCATTGCAGGAAATGTTGGGAGAGCTGTTTACTCCGACAGAAACACCAGAAGCTCAGAACAGAGGATTTTTAAAAGGCTTTTTTGGAGGAAATGCCCAAACATTCGACAGAGAAGAGCTTTGTGCGTGTTTTTTTCTTGTTTTCACTAAAGTGTTTACTTGTAGCTTAAAATATACCAAAGAAAATTAACTGATTATGCCTTTGAAAGTCGAATTGATAGTTATATAACATTAAAGTTAAATGATCTCAATTATATGACCAAATGTGTTTGCTAGTTGGGGAAGCATCAGCTGGAAAGGCCTCCAGGAGTCTGGCGCAGCACATCCCTGGTCAGGCAGGAATGGAAGGCATGAAGGTGGCTGCTAGTGGAGTAGTGGGTGACCTGGCTCGAGCTCGCATTGCTCTGGATGAGAGAGGCCAAAGGCTGGGGGAGCTTGAGGACCGAACAGCCCTGATGATGACCAGTGCGGAAACATTCTCCAAACATGCTCACGAGGTAAACTCAGCCCCAAGTTGAAATCACGTGTGAATAGATTTAGTTGACTTTCCTTTTTTAAATATCTATTAATGTATAATACATCATTTTTTTGCATGGATGAGCCTAATTAGAATATTGGATTGCTCTTTATAAACATGCTATATTTCAATATAATTTAACATTAAATTGCTTTGTTTTCTTCCAGCTAATGCTCAAGTGTAAGGATAAGAAGTGGTACCAGTTCTAACAGCAAGATCTTAGCGATGAGGCTGCCCTGGGTCTGCTGGAAACTTTGTGCCACTACAGAACTTTCACTTTACATTGAAAGCAATTTGAAAAGACACAAGAGTGACTTTGTCTTCACAGCGTGTGGATCAAGCTGTGTGTACGACGCTTTTGCTTTGCTGAATGGGTAGGACAACCTAGATCCTTGTCCAGACAAGCAGAGACTGACAGAAGATGGTGGCATTATGAGGTCTGAGGATGAAAATGGAAATATACGATGAGTCTGTGTGCGTGTGAATTTGCAGGCGTGTGTGCGCGCGTGCATGTCCAAGTGTGTGTGCGTGTGTGGTTGGGTTTTCTGGACCTGTACTGTGTAGATACTCAAAATCTAAGACATCAACAAGAAATGCATGAAATAACAATGGATGAGTATTTAAAATATACAACTGCCATATTAAAAAGCAGCATGCTACTTTAAGAAGACATTCAAAATAAAGAAATAAAAGTTTTATTTATGATGTAAGCCAACAACAGAAACTATGAAAATCTTTATATTTTTTGAGATACTGGCAAAAAACTATATATAAAAAGGGAAATGTATACCTGCATTGCTATTAAGCCAAAACTTGTTACTTTCCCTTTTCTTATTTTTTCTTTATCAGTTGATATTAACTTTTTTTTATTAGTCTCTAAATATTACTTGACACAGTATAAATGCACATAAGTATCTACACACTTTTAGAATTATACTAAAACTTTGTTCTTCAATTACTCTGGGCTGCACAGTGCAAATATAAACCAGTAGTATTAACACTGAAATCTGCTAAGTCTAGTCACACTGCTTTGTTTTCACTTTTAAGCTGCTGCTGCTTATGAAGGGATATTTCACTTTCCCCCAAAATAGAAATGTATGTTAACAAAGACTGATGTGACACAGGTTCAAAGGGCGTTTGTTTTTATATGTTGTACAAACCTATTTTCAATTTTCGTGCCATAAATACAAAGCTGGATGAATCTGTTTACTGCACATCAACAAAGGAGCTAACATTTGGTAGGCATCATAAAGTGTCCTGTTGATCACACTTGGAGTGGGCATTCATTAAAGGTCAGTTGTTTTTTTGGTTTAACAAAAAAGGGGGTGTTTTTTTCTGTTTCTGTTTATCTTCAGCTGCCTTTGTCAGATGTCCAAGTTTTGTGAGCCATAAGGTTACGTTTTAGTGTTTGAGAGAAGGTAAAAGTGCAACAGATGTCAAGTCTGACTCTTTCTCTGCTGAAAGAAATCAAATATGTATGACACCCTCTCATGTTTCCCCACCTTGGTCCTGCGGTTTGTGCATTTTCAGCATTAACTCAATCAGAGAGCACCCGTAATAATTGTCACTGTCTTTGTGCTACGAATATGAGCAGAAAATTGGACTAGAATTCATCCCTGCCGACTCCATTGTGAGTTGTCTGTCAGTAAATGGTTCAGGAGAAGTAACAGTATTTTTAGTGATGTTCAGATGTTGAGTCAGTGCCGAAAATATGTTCATGTGTAAAACATTTGCAGCAATTTCCACTGAAGACTATTTTATTTTTCTTCAGTAGTGTTCTTTCTGACTATGATATCCTTGTGTCGCGGTCATATATTTGATGGTTATGGCCTTCTAACTGAGGGCCTGTGTATTTTAAAAACATCTAATGTTTAATGATACATGATCGTGTATCAAATTGTGATTGTGTTGTATGTCGGTGGGTAGCCACACGACATGGACAAACAGCATCAAGTGAGGAGGATATTTTGTAATTGTGTATTTGTCTGTATTTTGAACTGATCAGAAAAATCAAAGGGTTACTAATTTTTTGTTCTCTCACATGTTAGACCTTTATGCACATCATCATCAGTACATACAGTCTAAAGAAACACGCCTTGGTCATACAGATGTCACTCCCAGATACAATATGCATCATCAAACACTCTCTCAAAGACTGAAAATAAGACAATAATCATTTCTGCCTGTTCTCTGTCAGGCAGCAGAGACACTCCTTAGATTTAAATGGCCTTCAAACACATGTACTTTCACCTTGCTCACCTGGAATCCCAAAGCTGAATTACTTGCATATCACAAATTACACGTCTTTCAAAGCTGTGTCTTAAACATGTCATAATATAGATAATACATTTCTGTTCTATCTCTGTACCGTCAATGAGACTTGTGTTCAGTGAAGTTCTTTCAGTGCCAGAGATAACACAAACAAAAAAGAAAACAAAACCAAAATAAAATTGAAAAAAAATCTGACTTCTGCTGACAGGGTGTTTTGTTAGTATGTTTTTGGTTTTTATATCCTATGTACAGTTCAACTCGGGGTGAAAGGTGAAACATAAAAAAAAAATATTGAGATATTTTCTGTATATGTTGTACCTGTTACTGCTGGTACTGTACTATCTGGTATTCTGGCTCTGTCTAAATCACTTGAACTGTGTAGTTCTTCACAATGTAGTATGCTGAAAGAGGCATTTTCTTGGTTTTGATGGCAGCAAAGTTTGTCTTATTTAATTGGATTCTACCACTTTTTGTTCTTCTTGATATATACTAGTGTAATAGAACTTATTGACAAGGTCTGAAAATATGTTGATGCAAAAGCAAACTGAAATAAACATTGATTGATGTACACAAGAGTGCTCTAAATTCATTGGTTCGTCACAATCACTGCCATCGTTTTGCTTTTTGTTCATTTGTTTAATTTATTTCAATCAACCATGAAATGCTATATCACAATACATTTCCTATTCACTGTATTTTCATTTTACCTTAACTGTGCCCTGCCATAAGCTTTGCTTTGTAATGTAAGGATACTATATTTCAAAGTTTTACTTTAAGAGAGATGTGTGAAAAATTAATTTTCACACATTTTATAATCCTGTCATCACTCAACTCCTCACAATCTCACGTTGTCACGATAGACATATACTGTATCTCTACATAGACATGTATCTCTATGGTTGTTACCATAAAATAGTTTTACTTCCGTGTTATCATCCAATGACTTTTAATATTTCTGAGCCCTCTACCTTTTGGCCAATCCAGACCAAGTGGCAGCACAACATCCAATCGGATTCCTGTTTTTCACGTTCTGATCCCGCCTCTGCCGTTAACTCGGGAGATACTTGATGTTTGACCAGGATGTGAGAAAAGATTTGTAAAACGAGGTAGTTAGCAGTTGTGGAAGACTTGTGAATACGGCTAAACCATGGATTTATATAAAAAAGACATCGAGAAATGACAACACCGCTGCTTCTGCATGTCATCCCGAACGGAACCGGAACAAATCTAACAAATATACATTTTTAATATCCTTGGGATGTGGACACTGTCAAACCAACATTGTGGGTCAAGACATCAGCAGACCTCTGTTGGGAAAGAGGTGGCAGCTTATTTGAAAGAAACGTGGACGCTGGAAAGTGGGCAACATGTCTCTTCGCTTGTTTTCGTTGTGTCTCCTACCTTTTCTCTTAGGAGTGTTTAGCCATGACCTGTCCGAGGCTCAAACTGGCTCGGTACTCAGCGCTGCCAAATCGTTGGTCTGGGGTCCAGGGCTGGACACCAACATTGTCCTGCCAGCTCGGTTTTTCTTCATACAGGCGGTAGAGAGCTCAGGGAAGAAGTAAGTGGATTTGGCTTTATGTATCGCTTTGTGCTGGAAACGATTTATCTCCTCCCTTAAACAATCCACATTTTTTGTTGTTTTTTTTTCAAGTCTTCCAGTTAATTGACCCTGTCAATTATATGACCCTGTCATATATATATTACATCGTGTTTTGGATTTGGTTTCAAGTAGTAACACATATTTTGCACTTCAGCTCTCACTATTAGATCAGTTTTTTTTACGACTGTTCTTATTCACTGAATCTGGAAGGCTCCAAAAAAAAAGACATATGGATCACATTTGCCTTGTTTTGCACCCCCTACCCTTCAGCAAGTCAGCCAAAATACTTTAAAGTTAATGAGGTCATTATCACAACCTGACCATTTATTGTTGTTTGGAATAATTCTGTTCAAATTCCAGATGAAAGCTTAGTTTGGAATTGTACTGATGCTGGATACTGTTACTGTTTCTGTTGCTATCTGATGTTACCAGCGGGCTTCCATAACTGCACACAAAGATCAATAGAGTAATGTTTTAATCAAAGTATATGAGGAATATGACATTTTAAACCTGTCAATAGGGAAAGAGCTGATATCCAAGTGTTATACCCGGCCAGAAATATGTTACATATCCTTAAATAGCCTCTATGATCAGACAGGCCCATTGACGGTATCGTATTATTCGTGTGGTCGCTCAGAGGTATCACTTTCACTAATGCTTTGGTTCAATTACATAGCTCCATTATTCCATTCTGCAAAGAACAACATCATTCTTTTCTTCTGGAACATAAGAAACATAATAGGAACACACCACTGCAAAGGGCAAAATATCTGCAGTGTTGTATTGTTTTACAGTTTTCAGAGCAGTGCATTTCTTCTGTTTCCAACCTGTCACAGTTTAACAGTATCACCAGGTGAGAAGACCTTTGAAGTCAAGATCATGTCTCTGGTGGAGCCATTCACCAGGATCTGGATTCAGGTCCTGGATCGTCGGGACGGGTCCTTCCTAGTTCGCTACAGAATGTACGCCACCTATTCGGACCTTCAAATCCACATTACGCTTAAGAGCAAGCACGTTGCAAAGTCACCATATATCCTTAAAGGTAGGATACAGTTTCCACTGTCCAGGAAACATCTGATCAGTGAAAAAAAAAACTATAAACCTGTGCTAAATCCTGTCTTCAAGCGAGCTCATCCTGGACACAAGATTTCCCCCTTTTGTTGTTATTAAGTTGTGGGAAATGTAGAAAGAGAAGTGTTCCTGATTTTCCTTTACAGGTCCTGTCTATCATGAAGGATGTCACTGTCCACAACCGAGTGGTTCTTTATGGGAGGCCCACATGAACTGCCCTCAGTCCTTTGCCCAGATAGAGAGGGATCTGTCCCTTTACATGAATGTTGACCCGGATCGCATCGCAGAAGAGATCCCAGAGCGGTTTGGGCAGCGGCAGAGCCTCTGCCACTACACCATCAAAGACAACAAGGTACTGTGCACAAGGACATCTGAAAGATTTATCAAAGAATAAACTTTGGAGGCTTACTTTATTTCAACTCTCAGAGAGTAATGCCATGATCATTTTCTGTGAACACATTAAAAAAGAATCTAACCACACAGTAATATTTGAAGATTAGGTTGTTTTTTAAAGTATGCAGGAAACATTGATTTCGAATTGATATGAAGAATTCAAAGTTTAGCTGCTCAACCATTCCCTGCTGTAGAAAACGGCAGGTCGAATATCCTAAAAACAAATTGTACTGAGAAGTGAAAAGCCAGCCAAGAGCCCAAGGCTATGTGACACACCTGTCAGAGCAGTGTATCAGTCAGGTACTCAGATATAGGCTCCCCTGAAAAACCACATCAGTCCAGGTTGCTGTAACAGCAATATGTCTAAAGCCCTGTTCACACAGGGCTTGCATTACCTGAGACCAATAATTCTATCTGATTTAAGGCAGGGGGAGTGTTTTCAGACAGTTTCGAGTTGTAGGAGGAAGGTCTATCCAATAAACGTATGTGTTCCTGGCACACCTGTGCTTTCTGAAGCGGCCACGTTACAGAAATGAGTTTGTTGTTCATCAGTCGTATTTTTTTATGCAGGTGTGTTTTTGTTTGGCTGCCAATTTTCCAAGTCTTTATTTTTGCTGCATGCATCTCTCTCTGATTGCATGTAATTGAAGTCTCAACAGATGCGAAGACGACCTGAAATAAACCCTTTTAACATATGAACGAGCAATCACCTGGGCAACAAGCAGAGAGTGGCAGTAGGCAGCACAGCTCAGCCATAATACTGAAATACTTTACAATTTCGCTTGCATTTTCGTTGTTTAGGAGGTGTGTGTTTGTTATTTTACACAGAGCAAGAAAATAAACAGTTTTTCTTATAATTTGTCTTCTGATCCAGTCCACTAACAGACAGTCATTGTATGATGCAGTGTAGCTGTGAGTGTATATTGTGGTTAAATTTTTCATCTATGCTTTTTCCTCTCCTCAGGTCTATGTTAAAACATTAGGAGAGCATGTCGGGTTTAGGATCTTTATGGATGCCATCCTACTGTCACTCTCAAGAAAGGTCAGCTCTCATCACACTCCCACTGTGGACATTCACCTCACACTGTTTTTTTCTATAAACTTGTTTTTGAATTTCAGCCGCAGCACACAGCAGCCTCATTATTATTTTCGTTCTGCTTTTAATGGACAGCGCTCCTCTTTTCATTTTAAGTGGAACAGAATTTGTAAGCTTCTCACTGGGGGATGTACTTTGCATGCAGGTGCAACTCCCCGATATGGAATTCTTTGTTAATCTGGGCGATTGGCCACTGGAGAAGAGGAAACCCACCGAGAAGATTCATCCTATTTTTTCCTGGTGTGGCTCCAATAATACCAGAGATATCGTCATGCCCACATACGACCTGACTGAATCCGTCCTTGAAACCATGGGAAGGTAGGAATCGGGGGCCAATATACTGTGCAATCTGAATAATTCAGCCTCTTTCAGAAACTGCCAGTGAACATTCCCTCACCAGGGAGTTGTCCAGGAGGCATTCTTATCAGATGCCCAACCCACCTCAACTGGCTTCTCTCCACAACACCTGAATAGACCTACCAGGGAGACTTAAGAGTGTGATTCTCCTGTAGTTGGAACACACTGTACTATTCCCCTTTTTGAATATAGGGAACAGCAGCACTATCATCCCCGTTACAGAGAACCTATTTTTTTTGTTTTTGTGCTTTGACAGATGATTGAAGGATTAGAAACTACTACAAATGTGACTTTCAGCCTTGTGTCCATGCAGGGTAAGTCTGGATATGATGTCCGTTCAGGCCAACACTGGGCCTCCGTGGCCAGAGAAGAATGCCACCGCCTTCTGGAGGGGGCGGGACAGTCGTCAAGAACGTCTGGAACTCGTCAAGCTTTCGAGGGCGAACCCAGACTTTATAGACGCTGCTTTTACAAACTTCTTCTTCTTCAAACATGACGAAAGCCTCTATGGGCCACTAGTCAAACACGTCTCTTTTTTCGACTTCTTCAAGGTGAGAGCTTTGCACAGCAGCTGGTTTTCTTATACTATTTATTAGTAATATGCAGTGGAAAAAGGGGTGATTATATAAGGAATTACTTGAACTACAAGAACCAGTGAGAACTTGTTTTCCAGACAAAAAAGACCAGTGAGCTTCAGTTTCTGTTTATGAAAATAAAGCATCAGACATTTAAGCCTTTTACTATCAAGCGTTCATATCTGGTCTTTGTCATCACCAGTACAAGTACCAAATAAACATTGATGGAACAGTAGCGGCGTACCGACTGCCTTACCTGTTGGCAGGAGACAGTGTGGTCTTCAAGCAGGATTCTGGTTACTATGAGCATTTCTACAATGATCTGCGGCCGTGGGAGCATTACATCCCAGTGAGAGCAGACCTGGGAGACCTGCTGGAAAAGATCCAGTGGGCTCGTGACCACGATGAAGAGGTGATGATGTTTTTTTTGTGTAATTGTTCACTAGACTTAAGCAGAACGAATATTTTGTGATCATGTTAGATCATCATATCGTTTTCATGTTGCAGGCTAAGAAAATAGCCATTTCAGGCCAGCAGTTTGCTCGGAACAACCTCATGGGGGACACTATATTTTGTTATTACTACAAACTCTTTAAGGTATCAGGCCTGAATTTTCTACAATATATATTGGAAAAAAGCTATAACAAAAACTGTACTTAAATAATGTTGTTGTCCTTCTTGTAGGAGTATGCCAAACTCCAGGTGACAGAGCCAAAGGTTCGGAACGGCATGGAGATTGTAGAGCAGCCCGCTGATGACCTGTTCCCATGTTCCTGTCACAGGATGAGGGTAAGAAATAGTATTATGTTCCCTCACCAATACATTATTTTCCAGATTCTCTTGTCTGCAGGCTGGTGCTAAACAGACCTCACCACCCTATGGTGTGTGGCTCCCTCTGCTGTAGAGAAGATGTCACTGCACCACACTTCCTGAAATACTCTAAATAGACATCTCACTCTGATTATTGCCAGACTGCTTTATATACACTGTGTCATATCATTTTATTGCACTATATCTTGAAAAACAGCAGAAACCAGAGATGGTGTGTAAAAATTCAATAATTCACCTGAACTTTTACTTGTTTTTATTTACAGCCAGCATTAACCCCATATACTTTGTTTATATTTGTTTGCCTAATTTTTGGCCCTTTTTACTTTTCTGTTTCTTCTTCTGTTTGGTTCTGACCACACACATGTCTGTGTGTAATTAGTCAATTATGTTTGTTTTTTTCAGGAAAAGGATGAACTTTGACCTGTCCCTACATTGAGAACAATCCCTTATATTGTACATGATGTGCTGCCAAATGAGATGAGTTGTCAAGGTGTGAAATAACAATCTAATGCAGATCAACACTTTTTAATAAATGTCTCTTTTATTAGTTTGAGTGTGTTTTTGTATTTAATTATGCATAATAAGCCATTCAGTTGTGTTAAAAATAACTGTATTATAAATTTGTTGTGGCAGCTCTTTTTTTACTGAGAATTTCTTAACCACAATACATATTTCAAATCTGATTATGAAAATCGATTCCTGAAACAGTTTTTGTCATCTTTCTTACGTGACCACCTTCAAATTGGAAAACACAGTATTTTGAGCAGATGAATGCCTTTAAAGGTCGTTTCCTACTCAAATTGGAGATCTTTCCTAAAATAAATCTACCCATCAGAAAAAGGGAAACATCCCTCCTCCATGGCACACAAAAATGTAACATGATGGTTTGTCTTATCAATTAATCTATTATACTTTATTGTCATTGACCGGTTTATATCTTATTTAATCTGATCAACATGAAGTGGTAGAAATTAGAACGAAGTGAGTTAATAGAAATTTACTTTTGTCACACAATAAAAAACACCTGATCCTTTGGATCATGCGCGCAAATGCAATAACCACTCCTGAACGCTAGGTGTCCCTAGTGTGGATTTGGATAATGTTCTCCTGATTTTAGAGAAGAAACGCGGTGTTTGTGACAGAAATGTGGAGTGAGGTAAGGGAGCTGTGTGATGTATTGGATGTACACAAGAATCATAATGGGATTATAGTTTAGATTTAAAACACAATGACTCACTATCCTCCATCACAATAGAATCCACGTTTTAATCCAACAGAACATAGACTACTGGCAAGTTTACTTGGTTTGCCAGTTAGAAACTTAATAAGTCATAAACTGTGATATGCTGGCTTTCAGGAAACGGTGAAGGTGCCGTTTGGGACGAAGTACCTGGACGCAGCCTTGTGTGTCCCTGCCTCCGTAAAAGATGCCCACACGGCCGTGATACTCACGCACGGTGCAGGGGGGGACATGAACTTCAGACAGCTGCTTTCTCTGGCTCGCTCCCTGGCTTCACACTGCGTCCTCTGCCTCCGTTTCACCTGCAAAGGCTTAAACTTTGAGTACAGAAAAAGGGCTTATCGTGCTGTGTGGGTAAGGGTTAATATCATGTAAGATGCGTGGTATTCAAAAATGAAGAATGGGCATTGTAAAGTTGCTTTACACACCTTATTTTCTGTTTAGGACTACTGGAAAAACCAGCAGAGGTTTACAGTAAAACACACATTTCTTGGAGGTAATCAGTTATTAAGTAGATCAATTCCACTGTCTTGATTACATTTCTACATAAACTAAGATACTACATTTTTGCTTTTTGGATAAAAAAACAAAACAAACATTTTTTTTATTTGTAATTGGACTTTGAATTGGATTCTATTTAATGCTGTAGTCTTCCACAGGCAGGTCCATGGGATGCCGTGTTGCTGCAGCCATTGCCCGCCAGCTGAGTGAGGAATCAGAGGATGCAGTGCGGGGCGTCGTCTGCCTGTCTTTCCCCCTACACCCGCCCGGGCAGACGCACGCCCACCGTCAACGCAGTGAAGACCTCAGGATGCTTCCCGAATCCATGCGTGTGCTGTTTGTGTCGGGCTCTGAGGACACGATGTGTGACAGAGTAAAGGGCTTAGTTTTTTAACGCTTTTGAATGCAACTCTTTCCACATCTTTGTGTCTCGCTGTACGAGAAATCCAGGAGCCGGGGTGTTTAATTTCTTCTTGAAATGTATGGAAACCCTCCTCATTTAGCCTTGAATTACTTCTATTCATTTTTCAAACATTTTTCTAAGTTAACCTCCATTTTACTTGTGCTGCTTATTGTGTGAATGACACAACATGATGGTTTTACGATCTCTTTGTGCCCAGGACATTTTTAAAAGGACGCTAAAAGAGATGAAAGCCGAGTATGAGGTTTTCTGGCTGGAAGGAGGCAATCATGGACTGACGGCGAAAGGAATGTCTGAGGATTCAGTTCTGGATGAGGTGAACTCAAAAGTCATCTCCTGGATTCAAGAAAAGCAAGCATAGGTGTTTATTTTTGTATTTTCTGCTGTGGTTGTTAAATAAAATATAAAACTGCATGATGACTGTGACTATACTTTGCATGTTTACACAACTGGGGTCTTATTTCACTGCAAATTGAAAAATGAGTTTGTGGAAATATAAAGTACATGATAAATGATAAAATGGGTAAACAGTACAAATATTTAAACGTGTTGTAATAGAGGTAAGATAAAGATAACTGAAATATATTTTTTTTTTCTAATATTCACTAATTATAAGATAAGATAAGACATAACTATCTTGACAGAAAGATGTCTATTTCATAAAAAATAGAGTACTAATACATTTAATTGCTTCATTTATTTCATTGGACACAAATCCTTAAGTTTGCGATCGCTTTAGTGTCCATATCACGTGATCTGGTATTGAACTCCATGAATAAAACAAACGCCTACCATTTAAAGGAACAGTACTCCCAATATCGTCGCCGTTTAGTGGCATGCGATTGGCCCACGGACTTCCGTATGTTTTAGCAAGAGAAGCATGGCAGCTGATCCGTGGAACAGAGTAAACATTCCATTTCCTAGTGCCGTTTCCATTGTCAGTGTACAGTTTACCACATCGACAGGTATGGATGGATATCAGTAACCTACTCTCTCTCCATCACGTGCTGTCTCGCGCTCGGTTCTGCGTGCTCACTCTGTTTCTTGCTACCCCACGTGCGGCTGCAGAGCTTTTCCTTCACGTGAAATGCACATTTAAATCGTGTTTTTTTTTTTTTTTTACAGTGGACACCATTAAAGCCCTGTGTATGGAAAACGACAAGGTTCTGCAACTTCTACGGAGTGAGATTTTCCAGACGGAGGTTCGAGTTCTCTACGAGCTGATGTACATCCTCAACAACAGCTACAGGGGAAACAAGACCCTCAAGGGCTTACAGCAGGTGAGCAGTGAACAGGCAACAGTTGGTCAACCCACAAACTGAATACAGGTCCTTGAAGTTGTTCCCATTTTTAATTGTTATCTTGTAGGTTGAACAGTGCATTAACAGACTGAAGCTCATGAAGCTTGATGGAGCCCTTCAGGAGCTGGCAGATCTGTGTCCAAATAAGTTGCAAAGGTGTGTAACAGCAGGATATGATGAAAACTTATTTTAATGACACATTTTAAAATGTATGAAGTTGTTGGTGTTTTCTTATCTTTTTTTCCTATAGAGGTTTGGATAATGCCAACACTGGGGCTAAGTGTGTCTCACCCTAGATATGATTTTCAACATTCTTGGTCAGATGACAGAAAAAATAAAATGATTAATAATCATGATTTATTGATTGTAATAAGTTAGAGCTAAAACTCTTACACCAAGACATTTTTCTGTTACGTTACTTATATTACAGGTATAATGTAATAACATCAGTAATACAAAAATATTAGGAAACGAATTGTTTAAATAGCAGAACATGGTCTTTTTTCACTGTTTGACATTGTTCTGAATCCTTCTGGTTCATAATTTACCTTCCTTTAAGCACTCTTCATCTGCTAAAAAATGTATATTTTTTATTTTAGTTGATATGTATGAAATTATTTTGATTAGTAGCAGCCCAAACATGAAAATATCTTTCATCATGATTCAGCAATGTTACATTAAAATCCAGATGTAAAATAACGTATATAATATATGATTAGAGGTGTTCACGCTGTAATGGAATGTTTGCATACTTACATTTCCAGAACACTGAGCATCAAGAGGGGCCACGGTGATGTTCCGAGCCAACCCATGCTGGAATGGACCTGTCTCAAGGTCCTGGGAGCTGCTCAGCTGCTGAGCTGCTCACTTACTCGGTGCAGCAGAGCTTTTATGTATCTTTTTTATTCGCTTTAATTGTGTCGAGCTTATTTTTTTCAATGTGTAATTATAGTGACAGATTACTTTGAATTGTTTACAAAAATGGACGGATGGACGCTTGTGTTCCTGTGAAGTTAAGTTAGTAGTTCTATCCTTAAAAGATGTTTGCCCCAGAGTTTCAAAGCAGCAGATGAAGTGGGAGGAGTTTCTCATCCTGAATATGGTTATAACCAGCATGCTCAGTCGTCTGTGGTAAGGAGCAACTGAACATGTCTGCAGAGTGAAAAAAAGATTTTCAAATGTCTACTTTTGAAATGAAATGTCATGTGCATGTCCACCACCTGAACTCTTGTGTATTTGGACTTCATCAGGGTGATTCTTCGGGGTGTGCTGGTCAGCCTCTCCGCTCTGTACCTTCAGCTGCTGGAGCTCCTGGGAGAAGTGGCCCTGTCCCAGCCCATGCCCTACCTCACCGATGTCTCCCTACCAGCAGATATGACTCAGTTCCTGGGTCCATCGTATGCAAGCATACTGAAAAGACACCCAGCATACAGTTCCAGTGCCAAACACCTGAAGATAAAGGGGCACAGAGGGAAGATGGCTTCAGTTAAACCTATCCACAAGAAACAGAGAGGGAAGGCTAAAGAAGACCTGGGTGTCTCTGTAGAAAGAAGTATGGGGTCAACAAAAAATGTTTTTTTTCTGTTTTCTTTATCCTATCTGCTCCTTACTGGTCAAATATAACTAGCAGACCCCAAATAATTTGTGCATCAGACTACATTTTCCACCATAGTTAATTTTTAATGGAAAATACTGATGGATTTTTTTTTTATTCTAGGTTTTCCTATGGAGACAGATATCAGGCCCCCTTTTAACATTTTTAAGAAGGTGTGTAAGTAATACCTCTTTCTTATGGATATAAATGAATTAAATACCTTTTAACTAATGATTATCTTGTGTTTTTACCCAAGGTTGAATCTATCCTGGGAGAATCACACAGAAGTGGCGAGAGACAAAAATTCAAGAAACAAGTGAGAGAAGCTCAAACATTCTCATGCATGTCGGACCGTCTAGAGGAAATAATTGTGTGGTGCCGAGCCCAGAGGATGGGAAAGGAGAAAGGCCTTCTGACCTTCCTGCGTTTAAAGTGCCAGAAGATGAAATCCCTGGAGGCTGCTGGATACAAGTAAGACCACAGCAGAATATAAACTCATTCAGGCAAAAAGTACCTACTTTATGGTGCAATTGCGGTCCTCACTTGACATGTTTATATCATCTGTCCTTGTGTTCAGCATCCAGAAGAAACTGCAGTCCTTCAGACGGGAAATTTTCTGGGTTTTATCTCCTAAAGGATCAACACCAAAGATATTTCGTCCCCCCATATCCCCGAGGAGAAATGGTCGCCTGAAGAGTCGCTTACAAACACTGAAGAGACGGTTTGCGTCTTCTAAAGTCAGGACTGGTGTTAAAAAGAAGGGACTGGAGGGAAAACGGAAGAAAACTGAACTGACAGTTGCTGGACTTTCAAAGGATTGCCAGGAAAGAAGAAGTACGCTCAGCGGGAAATTTCAGATATCTGACAGCGATGACGACATTGATGATATATTTGCCTCTGTGGGCTTGTGATACCTTCACCAAAACTCTGTCTTAGTCATACTAAGAAAAGATGTGAATCTCTCTTTTGATTTAATGTTAAGTTTTTTAGAACTTCTGCACAAGGAACAGCAGGAATGTTAGCTGATGTATTGACTGACATCAGCCAAAGACAACAGACCGCTTGTGGCAAAATAAAAACAATGAACAAAGGCAGGATTAAAGGTCAGATTGACTCTTGGTAGTCTCTCAAAATGGCACCATCTGTTTTGGATGTTGCCATGTTAACTCTTAAGGTCAGATCTCATTTCAGTTATTATTTCCCATCAGCAACTGTGGTGTTTTCTCATTTGCATGAATAAACTGAATGGTTTAAATAGCTCGTTTGAATGGCAGATGAGCTGGTTTTTAAGTTTCAGACTTGATATAGAGCCAAGCATCTGCAGGGATTGATTGCTCCTTGGATAAAATGCCACCAAGTAAGCTTCCTTATTATTATTTCTGGCACCATCTAGTGGTACTGATGCTCTAACAAGCATTGGCCTGAACTCATTCATTATTAGTTCCAGGTTGCTCATTGATCTTTAAGAATGTAGAGCAAGCCCCAAACCTGTTAATGGATATATGTGGCACAATACAATGTTGATGTCAGGCATTTTATCTAGAGCGGAATTGGTGTTCCTGCAGAAACAAAAAGCAGATGTGAATTTGGCTGCAGTAGCATGTGTTGGTAGACATCAGCTCTTTGGGAGTTTTTAGGAAGTGCGTTGACATTGAAGCCTTTAATGTATGAGACAGAACTAACTGTGACTGCTGAGAGAAGGAAGTTCAAGAGTGCTTCACTGGTAGTTCTGTTTTCCATCGTTTCAGTTGTCATAACATAGAACATCTCCACAAAGCTGTTTTTTCTTTCAGTGCTTGATTAGTTTGAGTCCTCAGATATTTTTGTAAACTAGTCTGGATGAACGGTCTCCCCTTTTCTGGAGCTCACTGTATTACGTAAAACATAGTGATTACAATATAAATACTGAAGAAGTAGAGAACTTCCCATATTCTGGATATGAGTAATACTGCAACAGCTTCCTGTTTGTCTATGTGCCTTTTCAGCTGCCTTCCTGATTACCACGCATTGCCATTTGGCCAGCGAAGCAAACTGTAAGGGTAATGGTTACGTGCCATTCTGTCTATTCCTGTAAGCCAATAAACAATTAATAGCCCATAGTTTCTACTAGGCAGTCTTTCATTGGCACATGGTTGAGCTCAGCCCTAAAACTCTTCAATAATTTTCTTGAATCAATAAAGGTTTCACATGGAGCTTGAGCCTCATGTTGCCTATTTTCCCAATATATTTGATTAATTTATTTCCATAATACCAGATTTATTATAGCAGAATGGGAGAAATAGAATATTTTACATGCTCCAAAGCCCAGCCTTTTTTTATATATATTTTGAAATACAGTGTACAACATAAAATAATAATAAACTACTCCCCAGGTAAACATGGAGGGTATGTAGACCTTCACATTATTTTTACTTTTTGTGAGCAGCCTTCTACTTTCAAATATCATTTTTTTTAAGATAGCTCTGTAGCTTATCGTCTTACTTCATAAATGTTGAACCATAGACATCTATTCCATTTTTTTCTGTGATAACAAGCTCACAGTCACTGAGTTCACCATTGTAGTCCAGTACAATACAAATTCCACATTGTAAACTTGCTGTGGTAAACCCCAGTTAACAAAAGTCGCTCTTCAGTTTCTTTTAAATTAAATTGAAAAAAAATTCTTATAGTTTATCTTTTTTAACATCATGGGATGAAATAAATTTGAAAGGATAAACAAAGATACAAGGATAACCTAACTGTGGTCAAAGTTCATGAGAGCATCCAGACAAAAATAATCGGATGACACATCAGTGAATTAAATCCCAGAACTTATTTTAAATGAGTTAATGTTTAGCCAAAGACCAAGGTCCGTTGTTGAACTAAGTTTTATTGTAGTAGAGATGTGGATTTTACATGCTTATGACAGACTAAGAATTCCCTTTGCAATCAATACACAATGGTAATGTGTCATTTTGAAAGTTCAATTGACCATTCTTTTTCTAATATTTCCACACTTAATACACACAGATTTTCAAAATACTTGTTTGTTAGTCTTTGTGCATTGGGAAAATGTTAGTTGGAATGATAATTTTGACAGGATTCACAGAACTTTACTGTGTGCCTTTAACGGAAGAAACTTTAGCTGTACTCTTTTTTATCCAAGTAAGAAATCATTGATGGAGCCATTTTAATCCACAAAATTTTGCAATATTTTGAGAGCATTAATTTTAGATAAAGTAAGCTGAGGTTATCATGAAAAGATTTCTTAGTATTTTACAGCAGTAGAAGTAGGAGACAATTTGTATTTGAAAAAAAATATTTAAAAGCTTTTCCCGAAGACGTATTAAGCGATTGAAGATCACGTTGTCAAATAGGTAAAACGTCACTTCCTGTCATCCGTCGTTCCAACTTCCGGAAGGTGGGGATTTTGTTTCGGGAGCAGTTTGTATTTGAGAATTCAATGTCGCTGTCGGCACGGTCAAAACAGTCAGCAAGATAGCATCAAGCAAGGGTAGTTCTCGAATCCTGTTTCGGTAAGATATCTTAACTTTTTTGTTAGGAGGAAGAAGTTAAGTTGAGACTTGTTTCCCAACAAGGCTCTGAGGAAGAAACACGGTAATGTTAGCGCACCTGTTTAAAGGAAGGGCAAGCGACTAGTGAAGTCAAACAGCAGAGCTTTTTAAGTAGATTATGGGTGCTAACAAGTTTAATTCAGAGTTAAGCCATATTTTTTAGTTAGTGTTGTTATCTGATGTTAGTTTATCACGGGAAACTGTTGGTACGTAACACTAACTGCAAGTTCCACTAGTCTCCCGCAAGATATCGTTACATTACTTTTATATACATGTATATATAAATTAACACAGGTTTGTTGGAAATTCTTAAGTCTCCTTGTCTGTAACAAACAATTGGAAGGCACATATGTTTTTGTTAGTCCCCATTTAAGTCACATTGTGTTGTAGCTGTACCGTTGTATAGCAATAACGGTATTAGCTTAGCCAAACCACGTACTTAAGATCTTCTGTAATTATATAAACCGTTCAGTTTCCGTAATATTTTTGACAGAGGTCTTGGTTTTAATGTCGAGGCCTAACATTTCGCTTCTTTGTTGTTAAATATAATGTTTGTGTATTGCTATAGCAGCTGAAAAGTTCACCCCCATGAGGCGACACACCCAAGTGAGCTCATGATTTCTTCTGCTTATGTTGTAATTTAGAAAGTCAGCAAAATGTCTGGTTTCCTTAATGCCAGAGTCAAGATGCCCCCCCCCCCTCGAGAGACGGAACCTCCAGTGTTATTAGTTCATCAAATGCCCTTTTGTTAATCTTCTGAAATGTCATAGATAAAAAAGTTAAATCTCAATACGAATTAAGTTTTGCGACTATACTGTGACAGTAATTGTAATCCGTTTTTATATTTACAAAGAGTCATAATAGCGAATGAATTCCGAGTTAACGGCTGTTGAGTCAGTTGGAGAGTGTTTACATATAAACAATGACGTTTTAGCTCTATTTGTGTTGTTGAGTGGGTGGAGGACAATGCTGCCAAAGCAGTATGCATTTGTTCCATCCTGCAAAATAAAGTAGTTGGAGTGGGGTAAATGTAATAATGACAATAAGGAATATCTAGTATAGATAACTTATATATATATAGATGAACGTGAACATCTCCACTGAGAAAAATCCCCCAAAACTCCTGGGAAAAATGCTGATCCCTGCATATTCTCAGCATATTCAGCCAAATCAGCTCAGGAGTACTTTTGCAGCCTACTTGGGCTCCCATCTTGTTGACCCATAGCAAGTAATTTATAAAATCTGTTTGTTACTTTACTGATCAGAAAATGGAATGTGACGTATGAGGTAAATTGTTCTGATGATGTCAGTTTATTGAAGACAATTAATTTAACACGTCAACCTAACAGACCCATTCCTTTTTTTATCCTAATGAAATCTAGGCTGTGTACAGGTTGTTTTTGTTTTCATATTTGGAAATTGTGATTTAATTACGAGTTTAGGAATGTGAATTATGTTTTTCATCCAACTCAGACTGGTTTCGTAGCTCTATCTCTAAACATCTTCCTATTTCTCGGCCCTTGAGTTTGTTCGTCTTGTGTGTTACTCGTCTGCATTCAGGTAAAAGAATGTTGGCTTGTAGATTTCGACAGCTGATGTAGCACTGGCTCCAAGGCACAACTTGTTAGACTAGAGTTGAAAGATATTTCTGTCCTAAGGGTAGCCAGTTTAGGTCATTGTCAGACATACAGTAGAATTATTGGTGTGAGTGCATAATGTACCAACTATGAAAGATATTGCATCCGGTTGCCTCCAAAAAAGAGGAACCAGTTATGCAAATTGGTGTTTGCCGAACCTTGCAATAATTTACTTTTTTTTTTAAAGATTCACAATAATTGATCCTGTTTCCACTGCTGGCATGTTGTGCCTGTGGGTCTGTGCACCAGGTTGTAAAAGAAGCCACCTGTGTTGGTAGTTTTTCACTGCTCCAGGAACCCACTGTGAGGTGATCAGTCATGTGATAACTTGCACCCTTTTAGTAGGAAAGGTAGCAGATTAAATATATAGTTGACATTTTTGTTGGCAAGTAAAACCATAATGTTTCACCACAAACCTGTTTTCTTTATTTATCAATGTAATTCTAGGAGTTATTCTTTCGGTTTACTTTGTCTTCATCATAAATTGCTTTTGCTGGTAGTAAATGCTCCTCAGCCCATTTATTTGGGACGATTGCACTTAAACCAAATGGAAAAATTTACAGGCGAATTATTGACATTTTAGTAAAAGTAATTTCTCATCTCTTCTAACAAAGAATGCTCTTAATAATAGAAAATTGGATATGAAACACTTTAAATATTATATGATTGATAGTCAATAACTGACCCTGATCTCAACAATCCACATCGCCCTTTCTCACTGGCATGAGTTTTAACCTGCTAGCATCCACATTTATGCATGATTTAGATATAGTGGGCACAGAGCATGGAGAGATCACTCACGCTTCTTACCATAGCTTGACTGCCGATTTATCCTCACACTTGAAGTCTGAATGCGCTTTTATTTCCCTCCTCAAATATAGGCCTTCGATTCACTGACAGACACTAAGAGGATTGTCTCGATTCTTAAATGTGCTGCTGCATGCATATCTCTGTGAAACTTGGCTCAAGGGTCAACTGTCTGTCATTTCATAAACGATTGGTTTGAGCAATAAGCAACACATTGCTGAGTTTTGTCTATGACGCCATCGGCTGAGGCTTAACCTGTCCGAATGTTACAGAAATATTTGTTTTGTAAACCTAATGGAGAGAGCTGAAGTGTGACGCAGATAAAGCTTTTTTTTCTCTCTTTTCTGTTTGTGTTTTTTTGTTAAATAATACACCTTTCTCCAGGTCAGATCATGGTGGCCCCACAGGCTCTTCCCATTGTGTTTATGTTATTTAAGTGAGCCTGTTGCCTGTATCTGCAGGGAAATAAAACAAATAGCAAATTGATGATAAAGTGGAGTTGCTCAGCAGCTAGAGAATAGATTTGTGAGTTCATGCTGAAACATAAACTCCCCTGGCCATGTTGAATCAGTCCTGTGGAATGTTCTTGTAATGGGAAACATACAAGTGTCTGGATAAGATCACCATGGTCAGCTGCGGGGGATGAGAATGGGTATCTGCTCTGTACAGCAGGCCAAAGGCATTGGTTAAAAGACATTCATTTGTTATTATTCTGCGTTTTGAGATCAGGATGCTCTGTATGCACACCTTGTTGATGGTTTCCATTCATGGGTAGGGGGAACGGTTTGTGAACAGAGACACATTTGAAGTCACCCTACTTAGTGCTGCTAAAGTTGGACAGTTTTTTTACCACAGGGAGGATTTAGGTCTCTGTTGCCCAGTTTTGTCAAAGACCCCCCTGTACGCTCCTGCAGCTAAGGGTTGTTAGTATGCATTGTGGAGTGTTTTTTTTTTTTTCAAATGTCCCCCTCACTGTTGTGTGCTGTCTTTTTATGTAGAGTAAATCATTCCCTGATCTCCATAGGCAGTGGCTGTGTTAGCCCTTATAATCTAAGAGACCAAACCCATTTTTGCTCAGGCCCAGCGGGGAGTTGCTGGTAAATTATGCATTGTTTGTTGCACTGTGATAAACAAACTGCAGAGCATTGAATGCCGTTGGTGTGTCACACAGTATTTTTTTTTTTTTGTAGTTAACAAACATCTGAAATGACTCGACCAGGTTATGAATTTTGGTTCTTCTGTCGCATTTGCTTGAGAAGAAAAATGATTTTAGTCTGGGACTGGTAGAAATGGGAGTGGACACTAGGAAGGGGAAAGATTGAAGTGGTAGAGACAGTTGGTAAGTAATGAGATGACAACGTTTTTCTTTTTAAATTGAAATAGTCTTTGTATTTAAGTATTTGCTGATCCAATATGAAGTAATGTGTCACAGGTTGAGGAGGATGAAAGCACTAATCTCTGTCACAGATAAACAGAATGGGGAGGGTTGATACTGAGCCAGGGATGGCCTGTTTTCTTCATCAGAGTAGGAGAGGAAATCCCCTGGCTCCACAGACCAGATGTCTTGGTTTTCCTCACTGTTCAGCTTCCTCACTGGAATGCAGACACATCAATATGTGACACTGAGGATGACCATCACTAATTTTGCTCTCTTACATTGTTTGTAAGATGCATTGCACTTGGGCTTTAGGCTTTCATAAACAAAGCCCTTTCAGACTGAGGGTCCTCACACCAATAAATGTGCTCACAGCACTGAGAACAATGAAGAATGACATGAGTTTACTTACTGGAAACTGTTACATGAGGGCACACACATCATTATCACCTGATAACTAACTTGATCATAGGACATATGACAATGATTTAAAATTGGGGCATATTAACTGAACTGGTGTGACTTATAGCTTAGTCACTCTGCCTAACATATGTTATGTCAGGTCAACATGGGCTAAAGACCAAGCTTCTGCCAGTGTGCGGGTAGTTTAGCCATTAGCTATATATAGCAAGCACCTATTGTCTCATCACTGAGGTAAAACTGTGACTAATACATTTTTCAAGAATAATAATTTCATGTTATACAAACCAGATAATTACTTAAACATTTTATTTAAATGGGTGTAATTTTTTGTGGTGCTTGAATGATTTAAATGAACATAGAGCACCAGTTCTTAATAGATGGGTGTGTGCTGCTGTCTGTAAAAAAAGACCGGGCCATTTGCTGGCAGGGTGACTGTTCCATTTACTGTAATGATTTAGTAATAGCTGCGAGTTCTGGTTAAACAAGTTTGTTCTTTGCCCGGTGTTAAGATGAGAGCACTATGAAGGGTAGGTCAGTTTTCAAAGGGAATCTATGAAATTCATTGACCCAGCCAGCACCAGTGTCATTTATATTTCAGGATCCCTAAAACCAGAATGGTCTGTTAAATGGAGCCGCTCCTTGCTCATGGCTCCTCATCCAATAACACTTCATGTGGGTATGTGGGTCATTCTTACATATTAACTTCTCTCCCCCTCAGTGCCTTCTATAAACCTCTGTCTGACACATTGTCCTGAGAATAATTTCTCATATCTTCAGTTAGCTCAACGGACCTTTGTCGTATTGGGTCTGTGCTTGTACACAGGGAAGTGGGTTACATGTAAATAATTCAAAGAGCGGCCTGTATATAAGTGCTTAGTATTGCATGTTTTATCAGAGGGTGTGCAACCGAATGTGTATGTTTGTGTGGGTATCCTTCCTATAATCCCTTTCACTGGTCTAGTTACTAATAACAAAGACAGGAAGGGCACAGGTCAGACTTCACTTCCTGGTTTTGGAGCGTGGAACCATGATGCCACATCCTCTGCATCAACAGCAATGATGGCATGATTTTTTTAAATGGCATACTGAGGTAACTGATAAGAACTTTAGTACTTTTAGTTAAGCTCAAATACAGTAATTTCTTTTTTTTTTTTTTTTTAAATCTAAAGTTTTTATTGGCCCTCTGTTTATATCCTGGCTCTCCTCTTTTGAATGCACAGTACACACTTGTGACACTGGTTGTGAGCTCAAATGTTTGCTGTTGGGGAGGAACAGATTATGAACACCGCTATGAATCAGCTCAGTGCTTCCATTAGTCTGACATTCCAAGAGGAGGGAAAACTCTCTGTGCAGAGAGATAAACTGACAATGGCATGAGAGGAGGGAGCTGAGCCCCATGATGTTACAACAACACAGAGTCATAGGACGGAGCAGCATTTAGTTGCACATAGCAGATTGTCAATGGCTGGATGCTTCGGATCCCATTGACAGACTCACTGTGGATATAATGTATCCCATGATGCAGATGACAACAGCCACCATTCCCCACTGCAAAGCTCTCACATGCTGTATCCATGCCTGCTGAGGGAAGCTTTAAAAGGCTGAGTGCACCAGGGCCAGGGGAAGCTCATTCAGAAGCGGTTCCTCTCTATTCTGCACCCACACAGCAAACGGAATCTAGTAAAATACACGTAAAATAAGTATTAATAAGCTAAGTGTTGCTTTTTAACTGGCAGCACCAATAGATTGAACTTTTATATTGTCATCATAAAAGTTATTCCTGAGAAAAAATACACTTATACTCATTTCATAAATATAATTAACACATTCATTTTTCTCCTTCTTTTCAACTGGACTTCAGTTTTTCCAGTCGGTAGGATTAGTTTCTCTCTTCCCAGTTAAGATGCAAAGCTCTACATCCAATCCAATAGATGAGTGCAGTTTGGCATTCAAGGATAGAATGAATAGAGTTCCACATTGAGTTCTTGGTCGCAGTATATATTACAGTACATAAAAATTGTTGCCATTCTGTTGCTTGTTCTGAACCTTCACTTCTTTTGACCCTCTTGAATGAATCCAAGAAGGTTAAGATATAGTATTCAAACATTTAGACTGTGAGCGGGGCTGTTTTGCTGGAAGTTCTCTGACAGAGACAGAGGATACCGAACCCAAGCAAAACTCAATTGACTCGGCGCTCTCACCTTCTAAGAGCATGGCGATTATAAAGCAGATAGATGGCCAGTCACCTCTTCCTCCTCTTAAACGAGTTTAGCACACGATGCCCTATTTTAATGCTTCCCTAAATGCTGGCCGTGGAGAATGATGGCTTCATTACTTCTGATCAGTCGCAATGACCTTTTGATGACAAAGTTTATAAAGTTCCTGGATTCATGAGTGGGCAATTTGGCACTTTAATGAGCATGGTAGGGGTTAAGATTCAAGATTTGTTGGAGCACGGCCTAGAGCCTTGGCACAGTCCATAACTGTGGCCGAAAGGGTTGTTAAGTAACAACTGCCATCTGTCCCTGCGTTCGTCCGCAGGCTTGTGTCTTCGGGAGACTGGTTAAAGTAGGCACTGACAGTTTTCCATTCTTGTCATTCACAGGGGTGTGTGTGCGTGTGTGTGTGCGTGTGTATGTGTATGATTGTGTTTAAGTGCACAAGGGAGGGAAAAAGAAGGATCCAGTGATGGCTACCAATAAAAGTAAAAACCAGAGCTCTCTGGCCTTGCACAAGGTGATCATGGTGGGAAGTGGAGGTGTGGGGAAGTCGGCCCTCACACTGCAGTTCATGTATGATGAGGTGAGTGAATCCTGAAGGCTCCTCGGTCACCTAGTTTCCCTTTGCTAAGTTTTTATCATATCTCCATTCTTCCTCCTGTAAAAGCATCAAATTCAGAGGCATTCTTTCAGATGTCGATCAAAGCTCAACACGTTTTTGTTTGTTTTTTTATCCTAAAGACATTCACATATTTTGAATTGTGTTTCTCAATGGCTGCAACAGTCAGTTTTGCTCCTCAAAAAAGCATATAAGCTTTTTTTTTTCTGTTCCTCTGATGCACACCAGAGGTGTTGTTCACACCAGCGGCGTTGCTGATCAGGCTTCAGACTCTATAAGCACACTGAGGCGGCCTGTAATGTCATTTACACATTGTTATTTACAGTCTTGTTAATGTTATCATCAAACTAACTGAGTCAAACTCTTTGCATTCTCAGTTTGTGGAGGACTATGAGCCCACCAAAGCAGACAGCTACAGGAAGAAAGTGGTTCTGGATGGAGAGGAAGCCCAGATCGACATCCTGGACACAGCTGGCCAGGAGGACTATGCTGCCATCAGGGATAACTATTTTCGCAGCGGGGAGGGTTTCCTGCTGGTTTTCTCCATCACAGAGCACGAGTCCTTCTCTGCAACTGAAGAATTCAGGTAATGAGAGCCATTTTTCCTCTCCGTTGGCATTGGTAAACATCTGTCAGTATAAGCTCTTGAAATCTGCAATAGAGATCCGCACAGACCATCGTTTGTTTTGGAATTCTACACTTAGGGAAACAGAGCCGGCACCAGGGCTTTGCATTAATGCCTCTGCCGGTTTTGTTTGTAGAGGGCGCGTCTGTTTGGATCTATTTTTGCAGGAAGGCATGCGTAGGATTTAAACGTTCCCAACATCAACAGAATACTGACGCTCAAATAGAACATTTTTTTTGTTGTCAACGGCACAGTTGGAATCGTTTCCACCTGCCAAACATTGGACTATAACACATCAGTTTCACGCGCTGTGCTGAAAGAAATCATCATCCACACTTTCAGGGCTGCAAATTGGGGAAAATGGTTGAGGCGCTTTAGATGTAAACTGCCTCTGAAAAGACTGCATCGGGATACTTGTGTGTTTTTGATTCTACGATTGATTGAAATTGCTCACAAACACATCCAATGTTTTGTACTATTAGGGAGCAGATCTTGCGAGTGAAAGCCGAAGAGGACAAGATTCCTATCCTGGTGGTGGGAAACAAGTCGGACCTGGAGGAGCGTCGGCAGGTGTCGGTGGACGAGGCCCGCGGGAAGTCCGAGGAGTGGGGCGTCCAGTATGTGGAGACCTCGGCCAAAACTAGAGCCAACGTTGACAAGGTACCACTGCTAATGGATTACCTGGGGTACAGAACTGTGCTGAGGTTTCAGGCATCTATCCCCTCGCTTCACACGGGACAAAAACAAGCACGGGTTCTGATTTTTGGCATGACCATCATTTAATTTTGAATGCTTTTGTAAGGATAGTTGATCAAAGAAGGTTTGAAACGAGCCAGAACTCGTTTGTGGTGCATGACTGTTTCAGTTCATGCATTCCCAAACAGAGAAGTCTGAATGTCTCATAGCTTCTGCACAGTACTGAACCTCAGTGTTAAGCAACGCTGTTCTAACTTTTTACATTTTCACCTCATTAGTACAGATTTTCCACTTTATCCACAGTTAAGAGCCTTTTGTGTCCCTTCCAGGTGTTCTTTGACCTGATGCGTGAAGTACGAGGCAAGAAAATGGCTGAAAACAAGGACAAAAACGGCAAGGGAAAAAACAAGAAGAGTAAGAAGAGTTTCAGAGAAAGATGTTGCTTACTTTAAGCGCCCAACGGACCCAAACAAGTCACAATTCAGCCACAACGCTGGGGAACAAAGCAGACGTCTCTGTCATTCAAATGATTTTTGATTTGATAAATATATTTAATTGCTTGTTATAGATAAGTGTTCAAAACAATCTCAATCACTCTGTTGCCAATAAGAATGAATGAAATCTGGCTTAGGGTGTCACAGGAAGATGCCTGCTGTGACTCGGACCGCGGTGTTTGACACTAAGCTAATGACCAAACTGCCAGTGACACTAATTCTGCTGCTCAAGACATTCCTCTATGTTTAACTCAGAACTTCACTGCCTTTCACTGCGGCTCAGTGTGTTTCTATTTGATTTTTCTGGGGGGGGGTGAGTGCTCATTGATTTTCGAGGAACTGGAATGCTGGTGTCTGTCCTCTGTGTTCCCTGTCAATCAAACCTGTCGGCTTCATCCTTTGATCTGTTCTCTCTTGCGACTTCCAAACTTTGCCAAACATTGTTGTTTCGCTGGTCACATGTACTCATGCCTGGCATGGTGATCGTGATACAATCATAGGAATGACTATAGGATATTTTTTTAACCTAAATATCAGTGATGAGTGCGTCATTCACACTGACCCAACAGAGCCTCAGGAAGGTGTTTCAGAATTAACCGGACAGGTTGTGTTGCGGGTGAAGGAGGAGGAAGCCACCCCCATGTTCTTCTGACCCCCTCTAGTCCCACATGCCTGTTTCTGCTGCCGGCCCTGTGCTGCGACAGCTGTTGACAATCCAGGAGGCCACTCTGCTCCCATGGCATCGTCTCATAAATAGTCATCATTCTTAATATCTTCTTAAATAACATGCACTTCATTGCCAACACCTAAGGGACCTCATTTTGTGCCAACAAAATTGTCTGCCTGAGGACGTGCAGCATGTATGACGACAGTGTGCTTTATCAGAAAAAACTACTACCTTTTGTGTCTTTGAGCAAAGCTTTGCTTTATAATTGTTGTTTAATCGAGTGCTACAGTAAATTAGAGGTTTCTACCACTGCCTAAACAATTCTTTGTAACATGTCCTCTTCCTTTTACTTCTTTCTACTGTGAATCTTTTTCTGTCTCGCCGCTGCGAGGCAGCTGCAGAATAAATGCTTTTTATAAATTGCTGAACATTATTTTGTGCATCACTCACATCTCTTAATTTCAGAGCATTTTCATGTCACTGCCCTCTCAACCACTAATTTTATGAGCTTTCTCTGTTCATCAGACGTACACTATAATGTTACATTTTTAAATTGACATCAACAGTTGGGATGAAATGTCATAGTGGCCATTTCTTGTATCCTTTTGGCTGATCTGTGTCCCACTTTGGTCCAAATAACTCAAAGTTTACTCGTTTTGCATTAATCGTTCTTCTGCCAGCAAGAAGACTGCCATTGGCCTGTTTTTCAGGAATTTGACAGTGATATACTGCCACCATTTATATTAACCTTACAACCTCATGTTACATGGCAGAATTGTGTAACGCCGCCCTCAAGACGGAGCCCGATCGGGGGCCCTCATTCCAGCAGCCCCGGGGGTGGCCGGGTCAGCCAAACTCATTTCACAGTGTGGAAACGGGGTTGACTACACCACCGGGCAAAGACTGACCATATATCATTTTTAAAATAGTTTTGGGATAAATGATAAGGAATGTCTTCCCCTTGGCGTTATGTAAAAGAAAAAGGATCAAGACTGTGTGCCCACTGCTGTTAAATGTGTAAAAAAGCAACTTGTGATGCAATCTCTTAATGTGTGGAAGCACATGCTCTCTTTTCAAGATGAAAATGAAAGGGGACTGAACACACCGAACGTATTCCGGCTGAATTCCTGTAGGAACTATTTGGGTCTCTCTTGCTCAAAAGTGAGTTTATAGTGACCTTGTTCTGCTTTATTTTAAAATCTCGCAGAGTATTCCTGCAGGGATTCTTGATTTCCTCTGATATTTCAGTAACATTCTACAACTACATGCGCAGACTTCATCTTTTCCAGCAGGGTTTTTAGCATCAAGCCAACCTTTTTTGTGTCGACACTTAAATATCCTTCATGTCCGCAAATCAATCTACTGTTACAGCCGCGGCACCAGAGATAAGAGCGTTACCTCTCTGCCCTCCTGGAGAGAATAGTATATTTACAAATATTGATCCGACAGACCGACACCAGGTGAATCCTTAAAACGGCGTTAACCTTTAAAAGGGGCTGGCGCAGAGAGAAATACTGCTGAGATTTAAAGCTGTGGAAGCCACTGCTCCACATTCGTTGCATACTACTACACATAAATACACTGATCCCATATAATTTATATCGCCCAGTGAAACCTGCTGGGGTGGAGAGCCCGTGGCGGCGTTTTCCTACCTGAGAGGCTAAACATGCCCCGGCACAGATAAGCACATTTGCTGGTCTCAAACTCACCTCTCCGGATTCCCACTCCGGGCCCGCGCCTCTAAGTAGGCAGATTAGGTGGTCCGTTAAACCCACAGGAAGGCACTTATTTAGGAATACGTGAAAGGGCAAAGAGAAGTTGGGCTAATGACCGATGCCATGTCACCGGCACACTCTGGGGTCTTTTATCATTCTGTGGAGAGGGCCCCCGTCCTCTGAGTAACCCTCATTATATCTGAGCTAATGTTGGGGATGAGGATGTTCAAGTGATAAAGCACCATCACAGTCCTTCATTATACAGAAAGAGAAACAGACTCGGTGGAATTGTGCTTGGCCTGTAAGATAAATGCAACGGACAGAGAATAACTCCTATTTTAGCGACTCTGCCATATCCTGATGTCTGCACGTTGTACCTCAGATTTGAGACTCTCGTTCCCGCTTTGGCCAGAGGATGGCAGTCTTGTAATTCTGCAGGACGATTCTCTTTTGCTTTAGCGCCGCTGACATGAAGCTGACTGACAGCATGAGAGAATGTCAGCGGCTTGGATCACACAGAAATTACGCTCAGTTTATCATTCGGGGCATATGCATCGAGTGACAGAAAATGTATAATGTAAGTAAAACTTTACGTTGTTATGAATCTGGTGCAGCAAAAATGGCATGTTGGGAAACAATTCTAAAAAAAAGGCCTTTATTCCCTCTATGTATCAACTGCAACACAACAATCCAGAATGGTTCTGCAAAAGCAAACCATAAAGCTGTTTAAAAAAAGTGTGACTGTTTTAATCTTTTTACATATTTAAAACTTATCAAGTCCTTGCCAGTTAAAAAAAAAAAAATTTGAAATTTTTGGCCAAAATACTGGGGACCAGAGTGTGAAAAAGCTAAGTAGACCGTATGACTCAACTCCCTAAGGAGCCACTTTTAGCAGCAACAACTTTCAAGTAACAATAATTTCACATTGTTGTTGAAACATTTTGTCCCACTTACCTTTTATAATGTCCAGACCTTGTTCTGACCTTTGCAATGCCTTGATTTTTTTCTTTGTATGTCGGAGTTCATGGTCGACTCAAAGACTCTGGAACAGAACCATCAGCCCTCCATCGCTGGGACTGATGATTGATGTGAGGTGAAGTTACCACCGTGCATCCCGACCACACCTCCACTTCGATCTCATCTGTTCACAGGGTCCTGAATTCTTGTTGGTTGTTCGGATACAACTTTACAAAATGATCCGAGGTGCCAGGTCTTTTCTTTCTTTTTTTTTCGAGAGGAAAGAAGCATTTTCCAGCCATGTTTCCAGATCTGCACCACACTGGTTCAGAGAAGGTCTAATTGTGTTTAAAAATGCATTGACCCGTAAAGTATTTGTTATATGACCTGGTGTTTTTTGCATTTTTCCATGGCTAGGATGAAAATTGGTTACTCTTCCTCTTTTTTGGATTGTGTTATCACACACCTAGGCGCTGGAGACTGAAAAATTGTCAAACCTTCTGTGTAGAGGTGCATTTATTGATGATGAATCAATCCGACCAGCCTGTCCTGGCTGCTAACTTTAATAATTCCTATTGCTTCAGTAGGATTTAATTCAAATTTTGCCTGGGGTTTTTGTTGAATAAATATGGGAAGCGGTGTATGTCATGTCATTTTGTATCTCAGGATCTTTTAGTGTCTTTTGATTCTCGAATATTTGTATGTCAGTCTCTTACTCTGCAAACTTTCATAGTTATAACAGTGGAAAAAGGGGAAAAAAGTAATGCATCTTATTTTAGCTGCATTTTTGCATGTAATAGCGGAAACGAGCAACAGCTCCATAACCATGGCACAAAAGTTGGTGGAAGGGAGAGAATGCCTATTTCCCTTACACTGCCTCCATTCACACAATTTGTGATGTTTCTCAGTAAATCCTCTGTGCAGATGACGTCTTCTCTCTGTGTTGTGTCAGAACCAGCACAGAGCCATGATGCTTAATACTGCAGAAGCCAGTTGAGCTCTTTATTTAATCTCACATGAATGTCATAAAGATTTCATGAATAAACATAATAAATAATGTAAAGAGGCAGGATATAGATGATGTTTGAATAAATTCCTTATCATAGATTTTTCTTCATGTTTTTCCTACATCTGTCGGAGCATCTTGTGTTTAAAGTGCAGCATCTTTTACAGCTTTGGATTCCAGCCTGATGGCGTCCCTCCCCCCCCCCCCGTGAGAGTCACCTAATAAATGGGTTCTGTCATGAGATGTTTAATTGGGTAGGTGAGAAGGAAAAGGTTCTGTTACTCAAATGTATTTCATAATTTGGTCTTTGAATCTTGGCTTTTCCTCTGAAAAACACATCAGGTATTTATTAATTGTTTCAGCCACTAAGTAATAAACCATCTGAGAGGCTTTATGATTATGCAGTGAGACCGTGAAGTGCTCAAGGATGCCTCAAGTATGTCAAGGTGTCAAAAATCAGAACTGGCTTAGAGGATGGCTAAGCTGCGTGCCTAAAATAATCACCGGAGAATTGACAGTGCAGACATTTTGAACCTTATAAGCTAACCTTCAATATAAATGCCCGGTCAATGGTATGTGGAAGACAAAGGGTTCAACAAAAACCGTCGTTTGA